CCAGATTGACAGATCAGCTTCCTCTACAAATTGTACCTGGTTTGCAAATATTAGTGTCTTTGCTCTTTGGAATGACCTCCCTTCTGGATATTATCCAGAAACATTTCCTTTCCCCACCTTCAATCGTAAAGTGCCCTACTGTGGATAAAATGAGAGTTCCTGTGACCAGGATTCTCACCTGGCCCTGGTTAATGAGCTCTCTACACACCTGTGGGCAATACATTGCTGTTGACTCTACATAAAGTACTCCACCCAGTGCTCTGGGTGCGACACGGTGGATCAGCTGCAAGAGAGCAGAGCAGAGGCTGGAGTGGTGGCAGTGCCAAGTACAGAGCCCCAGAGGATGGCCGTGTGGGACAACTGTGCAGGCGAGAGGACCAGAGGACGGCTGTGTGGGCAGAGAAGCCCGGAGGCAGAGACCGGCTTGCTGCATGCAGACTTGCTCTGAGTGAATGGGATTTTAGTGACTGACCTGCCACCTGGAAATAAAGTTGGGTATAACCCTTTCACCCCAAGAACGTTTTGCTGTCAATTTCTTTGGTCACATTGAATCCATAGCGAACTTGCCCGGGGCTGAAACCCATTGGGCAAGACACCTATCTATACCTTTGCCACAATAACCTAAACATGTTACTCATGTTCTGATGTCTCCTAAGTCACTGAAGAATAGGAACTATGAGTGATTTCTCTCTACAACCTTCCATTTTAGTATTGTGTCTGACACATTTGTTAAACGAATGCATAAATTAACATTACCACCTGAGTGGTAATGTTAACCATACATCTCAGTGTATCTGAAACGGTCTTTAACCTGTCATTCTTGCATCAATATTAACAGCATCTCTTTTAATTCTCAAAAATCACCTGGATAACATATTGCTAACCTATCCAAACAGTGAGAAAAAATCAAATTTTGAGTAAGAGTAGAACACAATCTGAGTATTAAAATGATCACCCTCGCAGTAATATGACAATAAATAAAATGACTCAAGCAAAAACTTCAGGGGCAAATGATAAAAGAGCCTGAACCAGGGTAACAGTTTAAGAGAGGAGTAGAGAGAGTTAGGGATGTAAAATCACCAAGGTTTAGAAGCCAGTTGGATACAGGGAGGAAGAAAGCACAGAGAATCAAGAGTAAAAACAGGAATTTCTGGATTGAGTAAGTGGGGCAGTCACCAACAGAATATCAAGGAGGAGAAATGACAATGGCTTCAATTTAGGACTAATGACTGGAGAAAGTGGAGGACCGTTTTGTGGTCAGATACATGGATCTGAAGCGCACGCAAAGGGGTAAGACGGACAACATACAGTCCCTAGGTGTCAGCCCATAACAATTAACAGCAGCAAAGTTGTTCATGAGACTACCCAGGATATACAAAATGAGCAGTTTCGATGAATAAAAACTTTCATTTTAACATAAGGACTTAAAATTAATTCTAAATTTTGTTTCAACATATTTATTGATCATTTAATATATGCAAAACATGGTATTAAGCATTAGATTATTAAGAATAAAAAATAAACCACTGAGAGATGAGAAGCTCACTGCTCACTGAGGTAAGAAAGAAAGGTTAGAGCAAGAATGGTGTTGCATGGACTGAACTGAGAAAAAGCCAAATTCAAAGTCCTAATTTTGATTGTGGCATCTTTAATTTTGGTATAAAGGCTCAAAATGAGTACCTTAAGTCTTAGCGCACTTAGCTTCCCACAGAATATTTAAGTCTAAAATTTGCCATTAAAAAATTTTTTTGTAAAGTGGCTCAAGGAAAAATAATGTGCTGTGGAAGCTGAATCTACAAAGTAGGACAAATGGCCAGAAAAGAACTGTGTTCTAAATAGCATACTTTATGCCCAGTGTCTGGCTCACCAGGATTCTGCTTGAATTGAAAATTTCACAGGTGGACAATATACAAAATAAAGGAACTACTAATTTTGTCCCAGAAACAAACGAGAGTTCTTTAATCATTCATTACATGATGCAAACATCTGGTTATAAGATGCTGATTCTTATCTATTTGTATATTTTTCCATAAATCTTTGCACTCAGTAGTTATTCAAAGACAAATGTCCTACATGAATGAATTTTACCTCTTTATTATACACTTTACTCTCTTGGCTTCCAGGACCCCAGCACTCTCTCTTGGTTCTCCTTCAGGCACTATTTGCTCCATTCTCGCTTGCTGGTTTCAGCTATTCTCCCGACCTGTGGGGGGTCAAGTGCTCTAGGGCATGCTGTCTATGGTCCTCTTCTATTCTCTATGTACACCTAATACCTTGATAATCCCATCTAGTCCCAGGACTTCAAGTAATACCTGTAAACTAAGGACCATAAAATTTATATCTCCAGCCCAGCAATCTCTCTAGAAATAGAAATTTCTATATGCATCTCTTTTATTCAGACATTTCAAACTTGACATGTTCAAATCTTAATTTCTGATCCCCCCATAGCCTAAAACCTACTCCTCCTCCAGTTTTCTCCCTCTTTGATGGCAGCTCAAACTCTTTTTGATGGTAACACTGACACTCCAGTTTTTAGGCCAAAAAACCTCGAAATCATGCTCGATTTTTCTTTCTCTCAAATCACATGTCTAATCTATTAGCAAGTACTGTAGGCTAAACTTACAAATAATTTCCATAACTGACTACTTGTCACCACCTGCATTACTACCACTTAGTCTCGGTTACAATAGTGTCTTCCCAACTTTCATGTAATAGCCTCTGATGACCCTACCTTCTACGCTTGCTCCTATACAGTCTATTCTCAACCTACCAAGCAGCCAGGGGACTCTAGTAGGATGGTATTACTCCTCTGCTTCACAACCTTCAGCTGCCCCCTCTTTCATTCAAAACAAGTCAAAGATTTACAATAATTTAGAAAGTCCTACAGGATATGCCCCACCCTACACCACCATTATTGCCTCTGATTCCATCTCTTACTACCCACACCTATGTTCACTATTCTCCAGTCACTCAGAGATCCCTGCTTCTCCTTGAACGCAGCAGACGCACTCTCTCTCATCTTAGGGTCTCTGCATTAACTATTCCTCTACTTAGAAATCTCATTCTAAAATATCCCTATGGCTTATTCCATCACATGCATCAAGCCTTTAATCAAAAGTCATCTCAACCAGCTTATTTAAATTGCAACACCACCACCCATCTTATTTAATTTGCAACCCAGCCCTAGCCCCTTGCTTCCAATACTTTTTTTTTAATTAGCAATTACCAACTAACATATTATGTAATTTCCTTGTTTATTACATTTATCTACCTTCTCCCCTCCACTTCTATGAGAATGTACAAACCACTAGGGCAGGCCTGTTCTGTTCACTGACACATCCTAGTGCTCAGAATAGTGCCTTGAACTGTTGAGCTTTCAACTGATTGTTGAACGAATATATTTAAAATAGACCCTTAAGTGTCCACTAAAAGAATAAGGCTCTTCTAAAAACAGAAATGACCCTGTGAGAGTTTAATCAAATTATTTATCACATGACTAGGATTCAGGCAATCACTTCTTTATTCATACATCTGTACCTCCAAATAAATCCTACACTCATTTAAAAGCACTGCCAATGAATCAAACAGGGAACACATTATTACACTGCTAGATGGCAGGGCTCTAGCCTATTCTGTGGGCAGCTGTTTAGCATTCCCTTAAACAATGCTGCTGTTCCAGTAAAACAAGATTAAGTACTTGACAGAACACACACTGGCCAACATAACTTTGTCAACAGGTCAGAAAATTTCCTAAGGCTCAAAAACAGGCAGTCTCAAACTAGGTAATTCTGCTATGAAAGTAGGATTTTTTCCATTAAAATGTGAATTTACCATATTTAAAAGTAAAACCTACATTATATGCTGTAAGCCTTGTATGATATTTTCTAATGACATAAAAACTATGGCAGATTCACCTGTTCAAGGTGAATTCTTTCGATTAGCTCACAAGGACTTCAAGAAGCATCAGAGGGAAACTGAGACACTTAAGATTATAAACGCAAGTCTCAAAAAGATTCTGGAAAGGAGCATTTGCCTTGCTTCTATGCAGACCAAGATCTTCAACAACAAAGTTTGACCCATCACAGCTAAAATTATGGCCTGACTAACGCGTCATGCCCAAAGTTACTAAACCCTACCATGAAAAGCACTGTAAATCTGGGGAAGGAGGGGAAGGAAAAAAACCCCCTCAGAAGTGACTTAGGAAGAATTAACCAAAGCATTTCATTTACCACAACTACACACAAGACAATCCAACAACCCACCCCTTTTGCTCTTTGGTTTAGTAAACATGTCACTTACTATATAGAAACTTCTCCAAATCAAGGAAAGCTTTCCCCAAAAACCTAAGAACTCTATAGGAATATGCAAGGTCAGCAGGTTTTAGTTCTGTGCCTGAAAACTAGCCTACAGATCAAAGGAAAATCGTTTCAGCTGATGTCATTACTGCTAACCTAATACAGCAAGTTTGGTAACCAAGCAGAAAATACTGCGAAATTTCCCACTGACAGTCTGAAGAAGTACCTCCAGAACTCGTCTTTAAATATGCATCCTCCTCCACCGGAATTCACCTAACTGAATGCAAGTTTTAAACTCACTTTGAAAACTTTTACCTTTTTATTAGGCAATTGTACAGTATTTAAGGTACTTTAAAGAGAACGTCTTCATAACACGGTTATTATAGTTCAATTTCTACCCTCGTTTTTCATGGGCAATCTCACTCTGGGACCCACCTTTTACCCTTAGAAATACAATTTAATAATGGTGCCTTCTCTTCTTAAACACTAGGAAGTCACCGGCATGGACGGGTGTGCGGGGAAGGCGGCATCGCGAGCAGGAAAGGCGGTCGGTATCCCGCCCGCGAGCACGGTCAGGACGCAGAGAGCAGAGAACCCTGGCAGCAGGTGCGAGGTTCTGGGAGGGGGACAGTCGCCGAGTTTCGGACCGACTGGGAAATGCTGTCCGTTGGGGAGCGAGACGCGCGCTGGGTCGGCCGCCCTTACCTCCGGGGTCCGCTCGGGCGGCTGCTTCTTCAGCGCCTGCCTAGCGCCAGGGTCCACGGGTGAGTTCATGGCCGCGGCCCCGGCCCCCACGCTCCCCAGCCTGCCCTTAGTAGCTCACGCGACAGCCCATTTACGTTAGGTGAAGGGTCTGCACCCCACTACCCCGAGGAAGGGAACTCCAGACCGCCGCGGGGCCAGTGCCCAACCAAACAAGTCTTCACAACGCCCGCCCCGGGCGTCAGCCCACGCGCAACTGGCCAGTGTGAAGCCCGCGCGGAGGCGGGAGGAGCGCCAGTGCGCATGCACAGCACGCGCGAGCACGCAAACGAGCAACCAAAAGCTGACTCCGTGGTGACGAAACAACTAGGGCGGTGCAGATAGGCCTTTCCTATCTTTCATCGCGAGATTTAAAGACGCCTCGCGAGACCTCATCCTAAAGCCATCACGGGAGTTGCCTCGGATTTGCGGTTTCCGCCGCAGCTTCCGGTGGAGGGGCCGGAAACGCTTTGTAAGGGACTGCGCGAAGACGGACTGGTGGGACAGAACTGCGGGGAAGGCGTTCTGGGTGGAGAGTTCTGTTTGTGCCCAAATCCGGAAGCCCAGGGCGTGGTTTGGCCTGGGGCCGAGCTCTACCTCTGCAACTCTGACGCCCCTCCTCCCTTGGAGAACGTGCGGGAAATCGAGGCCGCAAGGTGGCAGAGGAGGAAGTTCATGCGTCTTCTTCCCTACGTTTCTAATAATAAAACGAACCTCTTGTGGAAGGTGTCCACCGAGAAGTTTTTGTCCTGTGCAAGACGGGCGTTCTGAGCTAGGGCGGAGAAGTCAAAGCTTCGCGGTCTTGAGCAGGGCTGGGCATGCCCTGTGTCTGTGGCCAGCTCAGAGTCCTGCTGTTTCGCAAAACCAGGTCTGGGCGTTCGGTCCAACGCCCTCCTCCGGCGGTGGGATTTAGGATTACCTGGACTCGAGTCACCGCATTCTCACTATAGTTACACATTAGTCTGTTCCCCAACAGACCAAATAAAGCCTATTTCCATTCATTTATTGGTCCCTTGGTAAGAGCAAACAAAACCTTGGGATAGCAAGACCGCTGGGGGGCAATTTTCACCGGTATCACTGACGGAATTCAGAACCCATCGTTCTAGATAAGTCCTCTTCACTATTCTCTAGCCGCACTAGTTAACGCCTTTGCGACCATCACAGAGGCATATCCTTTACACTGAATTTTAAGCACCCTGAGGGCTGTGTACCACATCTAGGCACATCTTAGTATTTGTCAAAGCAGTTAGCATACTTCACTAAACTCGTGAACTCGTGACATTATTCACAGTACTTTTTTAATGACACGGCTAGAATTAATATATTTTAGAGTAACAAAAGGTGAAGAGTTCAGGCTGCAACCTTTATCATTTCTGGAACCTGGTAATGATGGTTTATGTTAATAATGGTTTTGTTTTCCGTTGGTAGTTGAGCTTGCCCAAAGTTTACGACACAATATTGGCACATTTCTTTTTTGAGTATAAGACTAAAACCTTACCAGAGAAGTTATGGTTCATTCTGGAAAGAAAGAAATTCTGGGGCAATCATAAAGAATTGCAATAAACCATTTTCATCATTTTTTGTGTATATAAATATTTCCTCTTGTTATAGTAGGTAGCTCGCCAGACATAAGCAGGGAAGGGGTTGGGGACTTTGGCTAGTGTTTACATTCAGTCACATGCTTGTTCATATTCTAAACATTTTGTGTAAACTGTTCTTGCTGGATGTGGGGAGGGTATATGTAACGGACGTGCCAAAACTGGCTCCAACATGGCGAAGTTGACCCTGACTTCACCCTGAAATATTGTTCATTAGCATACTAAAAATCACGCCCCTTGGTGCCATGACAGTTTATACAGGCAGACTATCTTGAGACAGAAAGAGGGCTATCACCCAGTGTCCTGGAATTCCCCTCCCTATTCCAAGAAAACCCCACCTATCCCGATGAATATCTCACCCCCTGCTTGAACTCCAGCTTGTTAAGGACACCCCTCCCAACCACCCCCCTTCCCCGCCACCATGCTGCTCATCTCTGGAACACGGCCACACTCCCTCCTTGAGTGTATAGTTTGCTTTACTAAACTACTCTTTGCTTGTACCTGCTCGGGCTTGTGAATGCTTTCTTGATCACAGTCAAGAACCCGTTCCTGGGATGAGGTCTCCCCAGACTGCATTTCCTGACATCAAAGGTCTGACTAAAATCACTAAGTTTATCCCTTCCATTCTTCAAGGCTGTTTTCAGAGCCACATCAGTATTTTGAAAGAGGGAAAAGAAAAGCCTGACAACTATGAGCTTGGATTTTAGGATTAAACACCTGATTTTGTGTCTTCAATAGGCCATTTTTCATTCAACGACTTGAAGTTATTTAATATCCCTGAAAACTATGAGCTTGGATTTTAGGATTAAACACCTGATTTTGTGTCTTCAATAGGCCATTTTTCATTCAACGACTTGAAGTTATTTAATATCCCTGAACCTCGGTTTCCTTAAAGTGGGAATAGTAAGAGATCTATTGTTTTAGGATGCTCTTAAGATAACATGAAATAATTCATGTGAAGCATTTAGGATATTGCCTACACAATCCAAGCACTTATTTCTGTTACTTTACCTCTGTGATTTCTCTAAGGCAGAAATTGAAGTTTGAAAAATTAGATGAGTTGTTTTTTTTATACAAGTATTTTTCCCCGTTATTTAACTACTCAGACACACATTTTAAGTATTCATGAAGATGTGGGGCAACAGGAACTCTCACAAACTGCTAGTTCAGTGTGAATTGAGAAACCATTTTAGAAAAAAAAAAAGTACTAAAGCTGAAACTTAGCACACCTATGCCATTAGGTCCACTCCCTGATATATATCCTAAAGAATTCTCCAGAAAAGGGGAACAAAATTGTGTATTGTTCATACTGATCAAAAACTGAAAATAACCCAAATGTCTATCAATAACTGAATGGGGAAATTATGGTATATTTATTCAGTGTAATACCAGTTACACAGCATAGGGATGACTCTCCAACATAAGCTGAAAGAAAAAAAGCAAACCACAAAATATGGAGTACAATTACCCAAAGTTCAAACTCAAGCAAAAGGCCTTCATTTTAAGATGCATGAACAAAGTTAAAATTATGAAGAAAAAGTAAAAGTAAGGAAATGATGTTTACCAAAGTCAGGTTGGTAATTACAGAAACAAGAAGGGAGAGGATTGTGATCAGGATAGGGTACACGAAGGAGGTGCTTTCTGGGTTGTTGAAAATTATTTACTTCTTGAAGTAAGTGATGGTTAACATCAGTATTCATTCACTTTTCTGTGCATATTTCACAAGGAAAAATGAATTTAAGTATACAAAAATAGCTTATTAGGCTTTATCATAAGACAGTAAACACAATGTACTAATATCCATGGTAACTATCCCTATCTAAATTTAAGCACATTTTCAACATCTATCTTGTCCTTTGCCATCTTTGATTTTGCTCTGGAACGCTGAAAAAAGTGAGGTGATAGTGAAAACTGTAATAGCTAAATTCAGAGAAAATTTCAACAGTATTTTTTAAAAGTTACTCCAGGATAGGATTTATCAGCAGTAACTTGGATCTGAAAGGAAAACATAATGGTTCTGAATGCAAGCAATTTACTAAATTCTAGGAAAACAAAAATATAGTGAAAATCTTTTTTTAAGTGACTCAACTCCTTACCTCTACCTTACTTTTCTTCATTATGCTTACTGCAACCTGACATCAGAGGTCTGACTAAAATCACTAAGTTTATCCCTTCCATTCTTCTAGGCTGTTTTCAGAGCCACATCAGTATTTTGAAAGAGAGAAAAGAAAAGCCTAATAACTATGAGCTTGGATTTTAGGATTAAACACCTGATTTTGTGTCTTCAATAGGCCATTTTTCATTCAACGACTTGAAGTTATTTAATATCCCTGAAAACTATGAGCTTGGATTTTAGGATTAAACACCTGATTTTGTGTCTTCAATAGGCCATTTTTCATTCAACGACTTGAAGTTATTTAATATCCCTGAACCTCAGTTTCCTTAAAGTGGGAATAGTAAGAGATCTGTTGTTTTAGGATACTCTTAAGATAACATGAAATAATTCATGTGAAGCATTTAGGATATTGCCTACACAATCCAAGCACTTATTTCTGTTATTTACTCTACCTCACTTTTCTTCATTATGCTTACTACAACCTGACATCATATTTCTATGTCCTCCACCAGAGAGAAACATGTATAAACTCCAATATCATAGAAGAAGGTTTGCTATTTATTGACATATCCCTAGGCATACTCGAGCCTAGCACATAAAAGGTGCTCAATCAGTATTTGCTAAATTGGAACCAAGGACTAATGAAGAGGGGATTTTGCTATTAGACAAATAGGCAATTGATTGTCTCCAATGGCAAAGAAAGATGTCGGGCGAGACAACTGTTTAATTTGGGAAAACTGAATGCTTTTTAGGCAGACAGAATCATACGGCCATCTTTCCAGGCTAACAGTAAATCAACAACCAGAGAGTAAAGTACACTGCTTTTAAAAGTACCTGGAATGAAGTAAGGAATTGAATGTGGAGTATATTGGGAGACTAGGTCACTATTAGTGGAAAAGTAAGAGCATTTTCTGGTCCAAATCCAGATTACTATCATTGAATCAGAAGAATCTCAGAGGGTGGGTCCTAGTAATTAGTATTTTTGAAAAGTTACCTAGGTATTTCTAGTATGCAACCAGGTAAGAAAACGACTTCCAACTAAATCAGAGTCTGGACTACTCTGACCCATCTTAATTCCAGCCTTTGTAATATAGTGGAGCATTGACTTGTGAGTGCGACCAAATGTACAACACAGAGTGGCATCCTAAATTTCCTGAGGAAGTAACAGTATCTTCCTTATAATTACACTACATTCAACAATGTTATTCCCAGTTAGGTAACACTGCCTTTGCCAATAATCTATTTTGAGCACTGAGGTGAATATAAAGACATGTTTTTAGACTGTCCTTGTTAAAAGAGTCGTCACTTGGAAAGGAAGGAAGCTCAAGACTCATCCTAATACTCTCCCTTAAATGCAGGTTTATCTATGAGAAGTCGAATCAGACAATGGTAACTAAGAGAGCTTTCTGCAGTTTGATGAAGGTATCAGTCTAGACTCGTAATTTCACCAGAAGGAGAGTCCCTTTTAAAGGAACATTTTAAGGGACCAAGTCTCCTGGAGGCTCTGACCTGAGCACTATAAGCTTTCAGACCAACAGCCCCACTGAAGTTCTCCTAATAAGTAAGGGGTGGGAATTTCACATATTCTTTAAAAATCTCTTTTGGACTGCTTATATTTTCTTTTCTTTAAGAAAATCTCAAGTCTCAAATCTAGGGCAAACACAGCCAAATCCAGTGTGCACTACACAGCCAGGACAGAAGCGCTACACTCCCCCACCTTCCCTTCTCCCTGCGCCTTCCCACTCAGAGCTACAGTTCCCCAGACCACACTGCACCTTCCGCACAGGTTTGGTCCCACTTGCCATGCAGCTCCTACCTTTTACATCAGCAAAGACAAAGAAATCCCAGGTAGCTTTACATTTGCCACTACATACTAGTGGGAAACTATTCTGGTCTGACAGACAAAATGGACCCACATAGAAAAGACTGTATGATCTCAGATTAAATTCTCTGTATTTCAGTTTCTAATTAGCAAAATTATTTCTCTATGCTTCTCAGAAATGTTGAAAGATTTCTCTAAATTTATATGAGGGAACACAGGTACCAATTATAAACCTCTAAGATATTTGATAGCTTCTTCCCAAATACTTGATATTTCCTCTCTGCTTTAAAACAGTGTACTGAATTCTCTTTGGTCAAATGTAAAAGTGATACATGTAAAATGATAGGAAAACAGGCACTACAAAAAACCACTGGTCTAATTCTGCCTCCTGGCACAACTCTGACATCATCAACCTAACTGAGTTAGGGAGCTTCCCAGCAGCCTACTCAGTGCTGAATCACTGCTACGGAGCAGTGGAAGGAGTGATGCAAGAGCTGACTTTCCTACATGCAGATGAAAAGAACAGACTTGGTCATGCAAACCAGTGAACCAACCAGGATTAGAATCCAAACCAATTGGCCGGTTTTTTGTTTAACTGTAAAGTCAATAGTAATTTGTACTGGATACAAACATTCTTACCTTAACAGGTTTACCTGGCTGCTTCTAGGCTTTTAAAACGATTTTCAGTTTGTTTTCACAAAAGCATTTAAAGAAAATTTCAATTTGTCACTGTGAGGATTAGGTCAAATGTAAGAATATATAAGAATATTTTTTGTTACTATGCTTTCATTCATAAGAACATATCTTAAATTCTCTGCACAATAGGTAGGGGCCAGAGAGGAGACGCTGGACAAATTACCAAAGAACAGTAGCAGCCAAAAGTTACTGGGCACTTGGGGTGTATCATGCACTGAAATTTCTCTTGATTCTTGCAACAAACTCACAAAGTAGATTTTACTTTGTGAATCTACTTTGTACTGTAAGTTACCAATACAGAAATTTAGGATTAGAGAAGTACATTCTGGACATAGCCACATGCCTAGAAGTGTCACCCTTCAGAAAACAGTTCAGGTGGGCTGACCAGAGTCCATGTAACATATACCTTATCTACACATGGAAGAAAGACCAACATCATCCATTAAAATGACATGTGTATTTATTGCACAAATTTCCCCTAGAACTGGGAGGTTATTATAATACAGGTGTACACTTGAGAAATGTATACAGAACAAGGATCAAGTATGTACATTTTACATATCCCACCATCTAAATAACTTAGAGAAAGAAGTCTCATGATATCTACCAAAAGTAGGCATTGTGTGAAATCTTTCTTAAAGTGATCATCCCCAGTGTATGGCAATTGCAACAGAATGAAATCTGTTAATATGTTTATTGCACATCCAACATTTTCAAACTCAAATTAAGACATATTAATAAAAGCCAGGGATATTCAATATCAAACCAATTAGTTTATGTGTAAGGAAATACTAGCTTTAAATCTGTAACATAAAAGATCCCTTTTTCATTTCCTGTTGCAACAAACAGCTTTTTTAAATACGTAAAACACATTTGTCTGTACCATAAGAAGTTGAAAATTTATTTTGAACAAGCCAAAACTCTTTTTTCCTTCATCCTAATGACCACACTTTGAAGAAGTAGCAGCTCATTCCTTGGGCTTTATGTAAGGGAAGAATGACTATAATAAAGGGAGCAGAAATTACAGAAGGGTTGGGAATTACAAAACTCAGGAATCCTATAAGATTAATGATTCTGTAAGAAACTATAGGCCTTTTTCTTCCAAGCAAAAGTTAGTTTTAAGAAAAACAGTAGCATGAGTCACCCATTTATAGAAGACTAGACTTCCTAAATGGTAATTATTAGATTTCAAATAGATAGGGCTGTGAATAGTTTGATGCTTGATTAAAAAAAGAAAACAAGCAAAAACAGACATTATCTACCTGCTATGTATCCCTCTGAACTCAGTTTAAAAAATAATGTACAATGGCCCACATACAAACTTTTCTATATTCTGAATTCTGGCAAAGAGATTGCTTCATAGAATTCCTAACAATGTAAGAGAAGAATTTCATTAATTAATGGAATAAAATAAGCCAGAGAAAATATATTCATCAACACTCTCTGGCAGCAAGTCATTTATGGGAAACTTAGGTACTAACTGGGTCTAACTTATAGGACAAAAGAGCCGAAGTGATTGCAGGCACACCAATTTCAGATTTACATTCCATTAAAACACAACCTCTATTCTGGCTGGAGATTTCTTGAATACATAAAGAGCAAGGCAAAATGTGACCCAGTGCTATAAATTCAAGGTCAAAGACTAAACAAACCACACAAATCTTCCTTAATTACTGAAAATTCAAACAGCAAGAATAGATGTGTTTATTATACAGTAAATGTATCTAGTAACAGAATAAGCAGTAAGTTTTCTTTTTTTTAAGCTGACAATCAGTTATGATGAAAACAGTTCATGAAAGCAGAAACAAAAGTTCACTTCTAGCATTAAAAGTACCTTAGGTAAGTAAAGAATAAACTATAATGTAGTATTCAAGTAAACTGAGGTAGTACAGCATATTGAAAACTTTGACTTACCCACCTTTCTTATTTACATTACTTACAAGAGTTTGGTTCCACATTAGCTTTTCTCACAATCAACACTCTATGGTATATACAAAAATAATAACTGAAAAGTAGAAATCTTTGAAATATCTAGCTTCTGGGAGGGGCTATTAGAAAAAAATAATAATTTTAAGAGTTAATGAGTTCTATTAGAGTAAATTAAATATTATGAAGTAGTGAAACAATTCCTATGGGTTCAAGAAGGGCTGATACCGAAAGCAAGGGCCTCGGCTACCTGAGCACTTTTAAAGAAAATAGTATTATTTTTGCCAATGCTTTGGTGCAATTTTTAATCCTAATTTTCATTTATTAAGTTAGATGAGAATATGTAAATATTAATAAGAATTATCTTATAAACAAAAGACATGGTATAAAGTATTATTATTTTGGGAATCTACATTCCTCAGCCTTTAAAAAAGATTGGCTTTTACTTATATTTTAAGGGTATGTGAAGCAGAAAAATCACCAGAAAGTAACATTTCAACATTATATACAATTAATACTAGTTGAAAACATTATTTTTAAAAATGCATGTTTACCAATCTTGTATTTTTATCTGTTTTTTCAAAAAATAGGTACATATGTACACTTGGGTGGATAACATAACACACATTTACACTCACTATTCTGAGTTTATTAGAATTAATAGGCTATTTAAAATACTTTGAGAAATACCCAGAAATTAACTATTTTGAATTGAAAATAAAACAAAGTTTTATACAACTCTGTACCTTAGAAATAAAGAATAAAAAACTAATGAAATGACTATTTCTCAGCCATACAATCATTAGGTATCTGTTGTGATTTATGAGTTGTGGCAACATCATTAGTGAGCATGTGAAATTCCTCAATGTTATTCATTGTGTAGAAATTTCTAAGTTACACTTTGGCTTCTTCAAGTGCTTTCCCCAAAATTATTTATGCTGTTTTAGTTTTACTGGGTTAAAATCTACCACCACCCCAAAAGTCTAGTCAAAGGAAAAAGCCATCAATGATAACACAATATGCAGTGCAATGTACCCAGGTGACTGAGTCATTCAGATCAAAATCTAACAGGGAAAAGAAATGCCATAAATGCATGTTGTATCTTCTTCGTTGGTTTCTGCTTAACTTTCTACCAAAGTTAATTTCTAACAACCTTTATGTTAAAGGAGTATCTGAGCAACATATGGGGAGTGAGTGCTTGCTACAGCAGCCAGAAGAGGAAGATCACTGGATTCAATCCTAAAATAAAAAAAAAAAAAACTCAGTTCAGGCTTTCTGTACCCAGGACATGAGTCCTACGCACAACAGACTGCTACCTGCCCAGTCACTACAACTCATCAACGATGGAGCTAGGCCACCCTGGCCACAAGGAAAAGTCACTGGCAAGAGAATTGAAGATAATCAAATTTGGATATTTCTTAAGAAAGCATGTCACTGACCTGCTGATGGACATACATCAGCATAAAGGACAATGTCTAAGAAATAAAATGTAGTATAATAATAGAATAATCATGTGCACCCATAGTATTTGGATACAAATGTTTCTACAGTAAGATATATTGGGAAGAAGCAAAGGAAGCTTCTTAAAAATACATCATACCACAAATAATTTACAGAAGAAAAATGGCCATAAACAGAGAAAAATTTTATGCAGAATTACTCATACTTAGAGAATACATCTGAATAAAATCAAATTTCATTTTTCAGCTAATAGCTTGGGAAAGATAAAAAAAAAAATCGTAACAGCCAGCAACAGGAAATGGGTGCCTCTTGCTGTTTGGGAGAATTTATTCTGGTACTTTTTGGATAGCATTAACTATTACCCAACAAATAACTACCAATAGCTATCAGAAATTTAATATACATGCCCTTTAACCAAAAATTCTACTCATAAAATTAATCCTACAAACTTCAAAGATTTATATTCATTCCAGCACTGGTTTGTAATAAGAAAAAACTGAAAATAATTTAAATTCTACCTTGTAATGCAATGCTGTATAGCCATTAAAAATGAGATAGATCCATATGTGCTTATATTAAGATTCAGGAGGTGTTAAAAGGCAAGTTGCACAATGACATATAGGGTATAAAAACCAATTCATATTTTTTTATCCTATAAATTAAAAAATTCTGTAAGAAGAAACAATCCATTAACTGTGTTTGGGTTAGGGTTGGAAGTTGGGGGAAAAAATGGTAACTTTTCATTTTATGCCAAAACTCACTGTAAACTTTGATTATATGCACATTACTTTAAAAACTAGTTTAAATTTTAAAAAATGACAGCATTACACAGATAACCATCTATATCTAATGTGGATAAGGAATAAAATGAATGAAAGAATTTAGTTTGGTTTATGACATATAGTAGCTACTTGCTGATGTTCACTCTTTTTTCCTTCATACTTAGACACAAGTTCTACCTTGTTTTAATTTATTCAACTAGCATTTCAAGAAATAGTTTATATATACAAACACAAGAAAATAGCCATAGAGCATAGGAAAGTGACTACAGAACATAATGAAAAGGGATGCCTGCCACCAATTTCCTGTTCCTCCTTCAGTTAGCAATTTAGGTAACTATCTTCTTCGTGAGAATAAGTATGGAGTAGACAGACATAATAGACAGAAAATGGGGAGAGAGTAGTAATATGCAGACAAGGTACTACCACCCACAGAGTGCTGTTATTTCAATCAGATCATCTGGATGGCAGGGAAGATGCTGGGAATGATAAGCATACAGCATATTTAATAGATAAAAATGAGTATTTACTTATTCTAAGACAAAAGTTTATATTTCAATTCATTTTTCCCTGACTACATTCTCAACTTACTGTAATGACACAAGGAACTATACCTTTCAGATTAGTGGAGAACAGGGATTAGCTTTTATATGGTATAGGGCAACCCAACTGATGAAAGCGTCTAGCTTCTAATAAGAAAAGATACTTAAAAGGAAAAAAAGACAATTTTGAGGAATATTTCTTGACTCAAGACAATGCAATTGAGAGAGCAAAGCCAGAAAAAAAACCATGAACAAACCCTAGAACCACTCCCAGCTCCTTGACATGAACACGCATCTGTCCCCTCAGGTACTCGGACAGCATTTTGCTCTTAAAGTATAGCTCCTGTAGCCGGTCTTCAAGATGCATTACACACTGCAGTTGGGGGAGAACCAAGACCCAGGTGAGAACCATCATTCCAACTCTATCATGTTTTTGACAATTTCATTTATTCCAACATAAACTAAAATTTAGAATATTTTTTAAAGAATGTAATTTTAATTAAGAGTATAAACTTTTTTCTAGCTCATACCAAAGGTCTAGATTTTAGTTTTTTTTTGCAATGTGGTAAATTATACATAACATTATGGTTAAAACAATTTTTAAGCATACAAGTGAGAGGCATCAAGTACATTCAAAACAGGAAACTATCACCACTGCCCATTTTTCAGAACTTTTAAAGATACATTTTATTCCAAATTTAACAAATACAACACTTATAAATTAATGCATTTCAAAGTATTTATTAGGGAAGTCTGCATTCTTCTGTGGAGAGTAAAACAAAAGTGCAATAGTTCACAGAGAATGCTCTTACTAGAAGAGAGGTTTCTAAGCGGAACATTACAAATTAAAACACATACATTTTGTTTACTGTCAATTAACTTGCTCCATTTACTAAAGTAGGTGATTTTTCATGTGAGTTGATGCTATATGCTTGAGGGAAAAAAAACAATTTCAGGTGTTAAAACACTAAATTCTTGCAAAGTATTCCTCTCCAATGAAAATCAGCTATTAAAACTCCTAATGAAAACCCATTTTTTTCCTGGAAAAACACAACTAAATGGATTTCTTGGCATACTTACTGTTTTGTGGTATGTTTTTTCCACAATGCTCACTTAGGCTGAAAGTGCCTTAAGTGAAGAAGCAAATGTTTATTATACATAATATGTATATAACTTATATATACATGACTTTACCATATTACCCATTTTTAAGCCTATAATTCAGTGGCATTAAGTACATTCAGGGTACTGTGCAACTATCATCACTATCCATTTCCAGAACTTTCTTTCATTATCCCAAACAGTAACTCTGTACCCATTACACACTAATTCCTCATTCCCTCCCCTGCCCTTTGTAACCTCCATCTACCTTCTGTCTCTAAGAATGTGCCTACTTTGGATACCTCATTTAAGTGGAATCACACAGTATCTTTGTCCTTTTGTGTTTTACTTAGTTCACTTAGCATAATGTTTTCAAGGTTCATTCATGTTGTAGTATGCATCAGAATTTCATTTCCTTTTATGGCTGAAATACTCCATTCTGTGTACTATAGACCACATTTTGTCCATCCATTCATTTTTTAATGGACATGAGTTGTTTCCGACTTTTGACAATTGCAAATAATGCTGCTATGAACATGTGGGTACAACTGCTAAATTCGTGTTACAAACACAGACCTAGAAATAGAATTGCTGGATCACATAACAACACAACATTAAACTTTCTGAGGAGCGGCCAAACTGTTCTCCACAGTAGCTGTGCCATTTTATATTCCCATCAGCAATGCTCAAGTGTTCCAATTTCTCCACATCCTGGCAAATATTTGTTATCTTTAGTGCTTTGGATCATAGCCATCCTTATCAGTGTGAAGTGGTATCTCACTGTGGTTTTGATTTACATTCTCTTAATGATTAATGATGCTGAACATCTTCTTATGGTGCTTTTTCCATTCGTATCCACTCTTCAGAGAAATGTCTATTCAATTCCTTTGCCAGTTGACTTTTTGTTGTTGAGTTGTGGGAGTTCTCTATATATTTGGGATATCAATCTCTTTTCAGATAATATGACTTCCAAGTATTTTCTTCTGGAAATTGTTTCTTTCCATTGTTGGTAGTGTCCTTTGATGCATAAAAGTTTTTAATTTCATGAAGTGTAATTTACCTATTTTTTTCTTTTCTTCCCTGTGCTTTTGATGTCAAATTCAAGAAATCACTCTGCCAAGTCCAATGTCATAAAGATTAGCCTTGTTTTCTTGAAAGGGGTTTATAGTTTTAGCACTTAAGTTTATGTTTGTTTTAAGTTTAGATTTGAGTTCATTTTTGTATAAGGTAAGGGTTCAACTTCTTTTCCATGTGGATATCCAGTGTTCTCAATGCTTTATTGAAAAGACTCCTTTTCTCTTTGAATGGTTGGCTCCCCTGTCAAAAACCAACTGACCATTTATGTGACAGTTTCTTTTGGGGCTGTTATTTCCTATCAGTCTATGCATATGTCCTTATGCCAGTACCACATTGGTTTTTTTTTTTTGTATCATTAATCTACATATTACATGAGGAACATTATGTTTACTAGGCTCCCCTCTTCACCAAGTCCCCCCCACAAACCCCATTACAGTCACTGTCCATCAGTGTAGTAAGACGCTGTAGTCACTACTTGTCTTCTCTGTTACACAGCCCTCCCCGTGCTCCCCCCACATTATACATGCTAACTGTAATGCCCCCTTTCTCCACCCCCACCCCCGCTTATCCCTCCCTTTCCACCAATCCTCCTCAGTCCCTTTCCCTTTGGTAACTGTTAGTCCATTCTTGGGTTCTGTGATTCTGCTGCTGTTTTGTTCCTTCAGTTTTTCTTTGTTCTTATACGCCACATATGAGTGAAATCATTTGGTACTTGTCTTTCTCCGCTTGGCTTATTTCACTGAGCCCACATTGTTTTGACTACTGTCACTTTGTAGTAAATTTAGAAGGCACGAAATATGAGTCCTGCAGCTTTGTTCTTTTTCAAGATTGTTTTGACTCAAGGTTGCTTGAGATGCTATACAAATTTTGGGGTGGGTCTATTTATTTATTTAAAAAAAAAGTCNTTTAATTTGGGAAAACTGAATGCTTTTTAGGCAGACAGAATCATACGGCCATCTTTCCAGGCTAACAGTAAATCAACAACCAGAGAGTAAAGTACACTGCTTTTAAAAGTACCTGGAATGAAGTAAGGAATTGAATGTGGAGTATATTGGGAGACTAGGTCACTATTAGTGGAAAAGTAAGAGCATTTTCTGGTCCAAATCCAGATTACTATCATTGAATCAGAAGAATCTCAGAGGGTGGGTCCTAGTAATTAGTATTTTTGAAAAGTTACCTAGGTATTTCTAGTATGCAACCAGGTAAGAAAACGACTTCCAACTAAATCAGAGTCTGGACTACTCTGACCCATCTTAATTCCAGCCTTTGTAATATAGTGGAGCATTGACTTGTGAGTGCGACCAAATGTACAACACAGAGTGGCATCCTAAATTTCCTGAGGAAGTAACAGTATCTTCCTTATAATTACACTACATTCAACAATGTTATTCCCAGTTAGGTAACACTGCCTTTGCCAATAATCTATTTTGAGCACTGAGGTGAATATAAAGACATGTTTTTAGACTGTCCTTGTTAAAAGAGTCGTCACTTGGAAAGGAAGGAAGCTCAAGACTCATCCTAATACTCTCCCTTAAATGCAGGTTTATCTATGAGAAGTCGAATCAGACAATGGTAACTAAGAGAGCTTTCTGCAGTTTGATGAAGGTATCAGTCTAGACTCGTAATTTCACCAGAAGGAGAGTCCCTTTTAAAGGAACATTTTAAGGGACCAAGTCTCCTGGAGGCTCTGACCTGAGCACTATAAGCTTTCAGACCAACAGCCCCACTGAAGTTCTCCTAATAAGTAAGGGGTGGGAATTTCACATATTCTTTAAAAATCTCTTTTGGACTGCTTATATTTTCTTTTCTTTAAGAAAATCTCAAGTCTCAAATCTAGGGCAAACACAGCCAAATCCAGTGTGCACTACACAGCCAGGACAGAAGCGCTACACTCCCCCACCTTCCCTTCTCCCTGCGCCTTCCCACTCAGAGCTACAGTTCCCCAGACCACACTGCACCTTCCGCACAGGTTTGGTCCCACTTGCCATGCAGCTCCTACCTTTTACATCAGCAAAGACAAAGAAATCCCAGGTAGCTTTACATTTGCCACTACATACTAGTGGGAAACTATTCTGGTCTGACAGACAAAATGGACCCACATAGAAAAGACTGTATGATCTCAGATTAAATTCTCTGTATTTCAGTTTCTAATTAGCAAAATTATTTCTCTATGCTTCTCAGAAATGTTGAAAGATTTCTCTAAATTTATATGAGGGAACACAGGTACCAATTATAAACCTCTAAGATATTTGATAGCTTCTTCCCAAATACTTGATATTTCCTCTCTGCTTTAAAACAGTGTACTGAATTCTCTTTGGTCAAATGTAAAAGTGATACATGTAAAATGATAGGAAAACAGGCACTACAAAAAACCACTGGTCTAATTCTGCCTCCTGGCACAACTCTGACATCATCAACCTAACTGAGTTAGGGAGCTTCCCAGCAGCCTACTCAGTGCTGAATCACTGCTACGGAGCAGTGGAAGGAGTGATGCAAGAGCTGACTTTCCTACATGCAGATGAAAAGAACAGACTTGGTCATGCAAACCAGTGAACCAACCAGGATTAGAATCCAAACCAATTGGCCGGTTTTTTGTTTAACTGTAAAGTCAATAGTAATTTGTACTGGATACAAACATTCTTACCTTAACAGGTTTACCTGGCTGCTTCTAGGCTTTTAAAACGATTTTCAGTTTGTTTTCACAAAAGCATTTAAAGAAAATTTCAATTTGTCACTGTGAGGATTAGGTCAAATGTAAGAATATATAAGAATATTTTTTGTTACTATGCTTTCATTCATAAGAACATATCTTAAATTCTCTGCACAATAGGTAGGGGCCAGAGAGGAGACGCTGGACAAATTACCAAAGAACAGTAGCAGCCAAAAGTTACTGGGCACTTGGGGTGTATCATGCACTGAAATTTCTCTTGATTCTTGCAACAAACTCACAAAGTAGATTTTACTTTGTGAATCTACTTTGTACTGTAAGTTACCAATACAGAAATTTAGGATTAGAGAAGTACATTCTGGACATAGCCACATGCCTAGAAGTGTCACCCTTCAGAAAACAGTTCAGGTGGGCTGACCAGAGTCCATGTAACATATACCTTATCTACACATGGAAGAAAGACCAACATCATCCATTAAAATGACATGTGTATTTATTGCACAAATTTCCCCTAGAACTGGGAGGTTATTATAATACAGGTGTACACTTGAGAAATGTATACAGAACAAGGATCAAGTATGTACATTTTACATATCCCACCATCTAAATAACTTAGAGAAAGAAGTCTCATGATATCTACCAAAAGTAGGCATTGTGTGAAATCTTTCTTAAAGTGATCATCCCCAGTGTATGGCAATTGCAACAGAATGAAATCTGTTAATATGTTTATTGCACATCCAACATTTTCAAACTCAAATTAAGACATATTAATAAAAGCCAGGGATATTCAATATCAAACCAATTAGTTTATGTGTAAGGAAATACTAGCTTTAAATCTGTAACATAAAAGATCCCTTTTTCATTTCCTGTTGCAACAAACAGCTTTTTTAAATACGTAAAACACATTTGTCTGTACCATAAGAAGTTGAAAATTTATTTTGAACAAGCCAAAACTCTTTTTTCCTTCATCCTAATGACCACACTTTGAAGAAGTAGCAGCTCATTCCTTGGGCTTTATGTAAGGGAAGAATGACTATAATAAAGGGAGCAGAAATTACAGAAGGGTTGGGAATTACAAAACTCAGGAATCCTATAAGATTAATGATTCTGTAAGAAACTATAGGCCTTTTTCTTCCAAGCAAAAGTTAGTTTTAAGAAAAACAGTAGCATGAGTCACCCATTTATAGAAGACTAGACTTCCTAAATGGTAATTATTAGATTTCAAATAGATAGGGCTGTGAATAGTTTGATGCTTGATTAAAAAAAGAAAACAAGCAAAAACAGACATTATCTACCTGCTATGTATCCCTCTGAACTCAGTTTAAAAAATAATGTACAATGGCCCACATACAAACTTTTCTATATTCTGAATTCTGGCAAAGAGATTGCTTCATAGAATTCCTAACAATGTAAGAGAAGAATTTCATTAATTAATGGAATAAAATAAGCCAGAGAAAATATATTCATCAACACTCTCTGGCAGCAAGTCATTTATGGGAAACTTAGGTACTAACTGGGTCTAACTTATAGGACAAAAGAGCCGAAGTGATTGCAGGCACACCAATTTCAGATTTACATTTCATTAAAACACAACCTCTATTCTGGCTGGAGATTTCTTGAATACATAAAGAGCAAGGCAAAATGTGACCCAGTGCTATAAATTCAAGGTCAAAGACTAAACAAACCACACAAATCTTCCTTAATTACTGAAAATTCAAACAGCAAGAATAGATGTGTTTATTATACAGTAAATGTATCTAGTAACAGAATAAGCAGTAAGTTTTCTTTTTTTTAAGCTGACAATCAGTTATGATGAAAACAGTTCATGAAAGCAGAAACAAAAGTTCACTTCTAGCATTAAAAGTACCTTAGGTAAGTAAAGAATAAACTATAATGTAGTATTCAAGTAAACTGAGGTAGTACAGCATATTGAAAACTTTGACTTACCCACCTTTCTTATTTACATTACTTACAAGAGTTTGGTTCCACATTAGCTTTTCTCACAATCAACACTCTATGGTATATACAAAAATAATAACTGAAAAGTAGAAATCTTTGAAATATCTAGCTTCTGGGAGGGGCTATTAGAAAAAAATAATAATTTTAAGAGTTAATGAGTTCTATTAGAGTAAATTAAATATTATGAAGTAGTGAAACAATTCCTATGGGTTCAAGAAGGGCTGATACCGAAAGCAAGGGCCTCGGCTACCTGAGCACTTTTAAAGAAAATAGTATTATTTTTGCCAATGCTTTGGTGCAATTTTTAATCCTAATTTTCATTTATTAAGTTAGATGAGAATATGTAAATATTAATAAGAATTATCTTATAAACAAAAGACATGGTATAAAGTATTATTATTTTGGGAATCTACATTCCTCAGCCTTTAAAAAAGATTGGCTTTTACTTATATTTTAAGGGTATGTGAAGCAGAAAAATCACCAGAAAGTAACATTTCAACATTATATACAATTAATACTAGTTGAAAACATTATTTTTAAAAATGCATGTTTACCAATCTTGTATTTTTATCTGTTTTTTCAAAAAATAGGTACATATGTACACTTGGGTGGATAACATAACACACATTTACACTCACTATTCTGAGTTTATTAGAATTAATAGGCTATTTAAAATACTTTGAGAAATACCCAGAAATTAACTATTTTGAATTGAAAATAAAACAAAGTTTTATACAACTCTGTACCTTAGAAATAAAGAATAAAAAACTAATGAAATGACTATTTCTCAGCCATACAATCATTAGGTATCTGTTGTGATTTATGAGTTGTGGCAACATCATTAGTGAGCATGTGAAATTCCTCAATGTTATTCATTGTGTAGAAATTTCTAAGTTACACTTTGGCTTCTTCAAGTGCTTTCCCCAAAATTATTTATGCTGTTTTAGTTTTACTGGGTTAAAATCTACCACCACCCCAAAAGTCTAGTCAAAGGAAAAAGCCATCAATGATAACACAATATGCAGTGCAATGTACCCAGGTGACTGAGTCATTCAGATCAAAATCTAACAGGGAAAAGAAATGCCATAAATGCATGTTGTATCTTCTTCGTTGGTTTCTGCTTAACTTTCTACCAAAGTTAATTTCTAACAACCTTTATGTTAAAGGAGTATCTGAGCAACATATGGGGAGTGAGTGCTTGCTACAGCAGCCAGAAGAGGAAGATCACTGGATTCAATCCTAAAATAAAAAAAAAAAAAACTCAGTTCAGGCTTTCTGTACCCAGGACATGAGTCCTACGCACAACAGACTGCTACCTGCCCAGTCACTACAACTCATCAACGATGGAGCTAGGCCACCCTGGCCACAAGGAAAAGTCACTGGCAAGAGAATTGAAGATAATCAAATTTGGATATTTCTTAAGAAAGCATGTCACTGACCTGCTGATGGACATACATCAGCATAAAGGACAATGTCTAAGAAATAAAATGTAGTATAATAATAGAATAATCATGTGCACCCATAGTATTTGGATACAAATGTTTCTACAGTAAGATATATTGGGAAGAAGCAAAGGAAGCTTCTTAAAAATACATCATACCACAAATAATTTACAGAAGAAAAATGGCCATAAACAGAGAAAAATTTTATGCAGAATTACTCATACTTAGAGAATACATCTGAATAAAATCAAATTTCATTTTTCAGCTAATAGCTTGGGAAAGATAAAAAAAAAAATCGTAACAGCCAGCAACAGGAAATGGGTGCCTCTTGCTGTTTGGGAGAATTTATTCTGGTACTTTTTGGATAGCATTAACTATTACCCAACAAATAACTACCAATAGCTATCAGAAATTTAATATACATGCCCTTTAACCAAAAATTCTACTCATAAAATTAATCCTACAAACTTCAAAGATTTATATTCATTCCAGCACTGGTTTGTAATAAGAAAAAACTGAAAATAATTTAAATTCTACCTTGTAATGCAATGCTGTATAGCCATTAAAAATGAGATAGATCCATATGTGCTTATATTAAGATTCAGGAGGTGTTAAAAGGCAAGTTGCACAATGACATATAGGGTATAAAAACCAATTCATATTTTTTTATCCTATAAATTAAAAAATTCTGTAAGAAGAAACAATCCATTAACTGTGTTTGGGTTAGGGTTGGAAGTTGGGGGAAAAAATGGTAACTTTTCATTTTATGCCAAAACTCACTGTAAACTTTGATTATATGCACATTACTTTAAAAACTAGTTTAAATTTTAAAAAATGACAGCATTACACAGATAACCATCTATATCTAATGTGGATAAGGAATAAAATGAATGAAAGAATTTAGTTTGGTTTATGACATATAGTAGCTACTTGCTGATGTTCACTCTTTTTTCCTTCATACTTAGACACAAGTTCTACCTTGTTTTAATTTATTCAACTAGCATTTCAAGAAATAGTTTATATATACAAACACAAGAAAATAGCCATAGAGCATAGGAAAGTGACTACAGAACATAATGAAAAGGGATGCCTGCCACCAATTTCCTGTTCCTCCTTCAGTTAGCAATTTAGGTAACTATCTTCTTCGTGAGAATAAGTATGGAGTAGACAGACATAATAGACAGAAAATGGGGAGAGAGTAGTAATATGCAGACAAGGTACTACCACCCACAGAGTGCTGTTATTTCAATCAGATCATCTGGATGGCAGGGAAGATGCTGGGAATGATAAGCATACAGCATATTTAATAGATAAAAATGAGTATTTACTTATTCTAAGACAAAAGTTTATATTTCAATTCATTTTTCCCTGACTACATTCTCAACTTACTGTAATGACACAAGGAACTATACCTTTCAGATTAGTGGAGAACAGGGATTAGCTTTTATATGGTATAGGGCAACCCAACTGATGAAAGCGTCTAGCTTCTAATAAGAAAAGATACTTAAAAGGAAAAAAAGACAATTTTGAGGAATATTTCTTGACTCAAGACAATGCAATTGAGAGAGCAAAGCCAGAAAAAAAACCATGAACAAACCCTAGAACCACTCCCAGCTCCTTGACATGAACACGCATCTGTCCCCTCAGGTACTCGGACAGCATTTTGCTCTTAAAGTATAGCTCCTGTAGCCGGTCTTCAAGATGCATTACACACTGCAGTTGGGGGAGAACCAAGACCCAGGTGAGAACCATCATTCCAACTCTATCATGTTTTTGACAATTTCATTTATTCCAACATAAACTAAAATTTAGAATATTTTTTAAAGAATGTAATTTTAATTAAGAGTATAAACTTTTTTCTAGCTCATACCAAAGGTCTAGATTTTAGTTTTTTTTTGCAATGTGGTAAATTATACATAACATTATGGTTAAAACAATTTTTAAGCATACAAGTGAGAGGCATCAAGTACATTCAAAACAGGAAACTATCACCACTGCCCATTTTTCAGAACTTTTAAAGATACATTTTATTCCAAATTTAACAAATACAACACTTATAAATTAATGCATTTCAAAGTATTTATTAGGGAAGTCTGCATTCTTCTGTGGAGAGTAAAACAAAAGTGCAATAGTTCACAGAGAATGCTCTTACTAGAAGAGAGGTTTCTAAGCGGAACATTACAAATTAAAACACATACATTTTGTTTACTGTCAATTAACTTGCTCCATTTACTAAAGTAGGTGATTTTTCATGTGAGTTGATGCTATATGCTTGAGGGAAAAAAAACAATTTCAGGTGTTAAAACACTAAATTCTTGCAAAGTATTCCTCTCCAATGAAAATCAGCTATTAAAACTCCTAATGAAAACCCATTTTTTTCCTGGAAAAACACAACTAAATGGATTTCTTGGCATACTTACTGTTTTGTGGTATGTTTTTTCCACAATGCTCACTTAGGCTGAAAGTGCCTTAAGTGAAGAAGCAAATGTTTATTATACATAATATGTATATAACTTATATATACATGACTTTACCATATTACCCATTTTTAAGCCTATAATTCAGTGGCATTAAGTACATTCAGGGTACTGTGCAACTATCATCACTATCCATTTCCAGAACTTTCTTTCATTATCCCAAACAGTAACTCTGTACCCATTACACACTAATTCCTCATTCCCTCCCCTGCCCTTTGTAACCTCCATCTACCTTCTGTCTCTAAGAATGTGCCTACTTTGGATACCTCATTTAAGTGGAATCACACAGTATCTTTGTCCTTTTGTGTTTTACTTAGTTCACTTAGCATAATGTTTTCAAGGTTCATTCATGTTGTAGTATGCATCAGAATTTCATTTCCTTTTATGGCTGAAATACTCCATTCTGTGTACTATAGACCACATTTTGTCCATCCATTCATTTTTTAATGGACATGAGTTGTTTCCGACTTTTGACAATTGCAAATAATGCTGCTATGAACATGTGGGTACAACTGCTAAATTCGTGTTACAAACACAGACCTAGAAATAGAATTGCTGGATCACATAACAACACAACATTAAACTTTCTGAGGAGCGGCCAAACTGTTCTCCACAGTAGCTGTGCCATTTTATATTCCCATCAGCAATGCTCAAGTGTTCCAATTTCTCCACATCCTGGCAAATATTTGTTATCTTTAGTGCTTTGGATCATAGCCATCCTTATCAGTGTGAAGTGGTATCTCACTGTGGTTTTGATTTACATTCTCTTAATGATTAATGATGCTGAACATCTTCTTATGGTGCTTTTTCCATTCGTATCCACTCTTCAGAGAAATGTCTATTCAATTCCTTTGCCAGTTGACTTTTTGTTGTTGAGTTGTGGGAGTTCTCTATATATTTGGGATATCAATCTCTTTTCAGATAATATGACTTCCAAGTATTTTCTTCTGGAAATTGTTTCTTTCCATTGTTGGTAGTGTCCTTTGATGCATAAAAGTTTTTAATTTCATGAAGTGTAATTTACCTATTTTTTTCTTTTCTTCCCTGTGCTTTTGATGTCAAATTCAAGAAATCACTCTGCCAAGTCCAATGTCATAAAGATTAGCCTTGTTTTCTTGAAAGGGGTTTATAGTTTTAGCACTTAAGTTTATGTTTGTTTTAAGTTTAGATTTGAGTTCATTTTTGTATAAGGTAAGGGTTCAACTTCTTTTCCATGTGGATATCCAGTGTTCTCAATGCTTTATTGAAAAGACTCCTTTTCTCTTTGAATGGTTGGCTCCCCTGTCAAAAACCAACTGACCATTTATGTGACAGTTTCTTTTGGGGCTGTTATTTCCTATCAGTCTATGCATATGTCCTTATGCCAGTACCACATTGGTTTTTTTTTTTTGTATCATTAATCTACATATTACATGAGGAACATTATGTTTACTAGGCTCCCCTCTTCACCAAGTCCCCCCCACAAACCCCATTACAGTCACTGTCCATCAGTGTAGTAAGACGCTGTAGTCACTACTTGTCTTCTCTGTTACACAGCCCTCCCCGTGCTCCCCCCACATTATACATGCTAACTGTAATGCCCCCTTTCTCCACCCCCACCCCCGCTTATCCCTCCCTTTCCACCAATCCTCCTCAGTCCCTTTCCCTTTGGTAACTGTTAGTCCATTCTTGGGTTCTGTGATTCTGCTGCTGTTTTGTTCCTTCAGTTTTTCTTTGTTCTTATACGCCACATATGAGTGAAATCATTTGGTACTTGTCTTTCTCCGCTTGGCTTATTTCACTGAGCCCACATTGTTTTGACTACTGTCACTTTGTAGTAAATTTAGAAGGCACGAAATATGAGTCCTGCAGCTTTGTTCTTTTTCAAGATTGTTTTGACTCAAGGTTGCTTGAGATGCTATACAAATTTTGGGGTGGGTCTATTTATTTATTTAAAAAAAAAGTCCCTTGGATGTTTGATAGGGATTGCAAAGAATCAGCAGGTAACTTCAGGTAGAACTGTCATTTCAAATAATACTGTCTTCCAAACCACGAACATAAGATGTCTTTCTTTGCACTTACAAATCTTCTTTAATTTCTTTCACCAAAGTTTTATAGTTTTCATCATACAAATCTTTTGCCTCTTTGGTCAAATTTATTTTTAAGTATTTATTCTTTTGAGATTATCACAAGTGCTTTCTTTTTTTCTTTAATTTTTTATTAAAATATTGTGGATATATACTCTTATGAAGGTTTCACATGAAAAAACAATATGGTTACTACATTTACCCATATTATCAAGACCCCACCCAAACCCCAATGCAGTCACTGTCCATCAGTGTAGTAAGATGCCACAGATTCACTGTTTGCCTTTTCTGTGCTACACTGTTTTCCCCGTGACCCCTCACACCATGTGTACTAAACATAATACTCCTCAGTCCCCTTCTCCTTCCCTCCCCACCCACCCGCCCACACCCCTCCCCTTTGGTAACCACTAGTCCCTTCTTGGAGTCCCTGAGTCTGCTGCTATTTTGTTCCTTCAGTTTTGCTTCATTGTTCAACTCAACAAATGAAGGAAATCATCTGGCACTTGTTTTTCTGTGGCTGGCTTATTTCACTGAGCATAATATCCTCCACCTCCATTCATGGTGCAAATGGTAGGATTTGTTTCTTTCTTATGACTGAATAGTATTCAACTGTGTATATCTTCCTTATCCATTCATCTACTGATGGACACATCTTCCTTATCCATTCATCTACTGATGGACACTTAGGCTGCTTCCATATCATGGCTATTGTGAAAAGTGCTGTGATACAGAGAAAGCACATAGTGGATCTGTGGCATCTTACTACACTGACGGACAGTGACTGCATTGGGGTATGGGTGGAGACTTGATAATATGAGTAAATGTAGGAACCACATTACTTTTCATGTGAAACCTTCATAAGAGTGTATATCAATCATACCTTAATAAAAATAAATAAATAAATAAAGTGCTGTGATAAACATAGGGGTGCATATGTCTTTTTGAATCTGAGAAGTTCTATTCTTTGGGTACATTCCAAGGAGTGGCATTCCCAGGTCAAATGGTATTTCTATTTTTAGTTTTTTGAGGAACCTCCATATTGCTTTTCAGAATGATTGAACTAGCTTACATTCCCACGAGCAGTGTAGGAGGGTTCCCCTTCCTCCTCATCCTCACCAGCATTTGTTATTCTTAGTCTTTTCGATGCTGGCCATCCTAACTGGTGTGAGGTGATATCTCATTGTTTTAATTTGCATTTTCCTGATGATTAGTGATGTGGAGCATCATGTGTCTGTTGGCCATTTGAATTTCTTCTTTGGAGAACTATCTCTTCATATCCTCTGCCCATTTTTTAATGGGTTATTTGCTTTTTGGGTGTTGAGGCATGTAAGTTCTTTATATATTTTGGATGTTAAACCCTTGTTGGATATGTCACTTACAAATATATTATCCCATACTGTAGGATGCCTTTTTGTTCTGCTGATGGTGTCCTTTGCCGAACAGAAACTTTTTAGTTTGATGTAGTGCCATGAGTTCATTTTTGCTTTTGTTTCCCCTGCTCAAGAAGATGCGCTCAGGAAGAAGTTGCTCATGCTGATATTCAGGAGATATTTGCTTATGCTGTCTTCTAAGAGCTTTATGGTTTCATGACTTACACTCAACTCTTTAATCCATTTCAAGTTTACTTTTGTGTATGGGGTTAAACAATAATCCAGTTTCATTCTCTTGCATGTAGCTGTACAGTTTTACCAATACCAGCTGTTGAAGTGGCTGTCATTTCCCCATTCTATGTCAATGGCTCCTTTATCATATGTTATTTGACCATATAGGGTTGGGTTTATATCAGGGCTCTCTAGTCTGTTCCATTGATCTATGGGTCTGTTCTTGTGCCAGTACCAAATTGTCTTGATTGCTGTGGCTTTGTAGTAGAGTTTGAAGTTGGGGAGCATAATGCCCCCAGCTTTATTCTTCCTTCTCAGGATTGCTTTGGCTTTTCAGGATCTTTTGTGGTTCCCTTTGAATTTTAGAACGATTTTCTCTAGTTCATTGAAGAATGCTGTTGGTATTTTGATAGGAATTGCATTGAATCTGTAGATTGCTTTAGGCAGGATGGCCATTTTGACAATATTAATTCTTCCTATCCATGAGCACAGGATGTGTTTCCATTTACTGGTATCTTCTTTAATTTCTCTCACAAGTGTCCTGCAGTTTTCAGAGTATAGGTCTTTCACTCCCTTGGTGGTTTATTCGTAGGTATTTTATTATTTTTCATGCAATTGTGAATGGAATTGTTTTCCGGATTTCTCTTTCTGCTAGTTCATCGTTAGTGTACAGGAATGAAACAGATTTCTGTGTATTAATTTTGTATCGTGCAACTTTGCTGAATTCAGATATTAGATCTAGTAGTTTTGGAGTGGATATACTTTTGGGATTTTTATGTACAATAACATGTCATCTGTAAACAGGGAGAGTTTGACTTCTTCGTTGCCAATCTAAATGCCTTTTATTTCTTTGCGTTGTCTGATTGCCGTGGATAGGACCTCCAGAACTATGTTGAATAAAAGCGGGAAGAGTGGGCATCCTTGTCTTGTTCCCGATCTTAGAGGAAATGCTTTCAGCTTCTCACTGTTAAGTATAATGTTGACTGTGGGTTTGTCATATACAGCCTTTATTATGTTGAGGTACTTGCCCTCTATACCCATTTTGTTGAGAGTTTTTATGATGAATGGATGTTGAATTTTGTCAAATGCTTTTTCAGCATCTATGGAGATGATCATGTGGTTTTGTCCTTCTTTTTGTTGATGTGGTGGATGATGTTGATGGATTTTCTAATGCTGCACCATCCTTGCATCCCTAGAATAAATCCTACTTGATCATAATGGATGATCTCTTGATGTATTTTTTAATTTGGTTGGCTAATATTTTGTTGAGTATTTTTGCATCTATGTTCATCAGGGACATTGGTCTGTAATTTTCTTTTTTTGTGGTGTCTGTTCCTGGTTTTGGTATTAGAGTGATGCTGGCCTCATAGAATGAGTTTGAAAGTTTTCCCTCCACTCCTCCACTTCTAAACTTTGGAAAACGTTAAGGAGGATAGGTATTAGGTCTTTACTAAATGTTTGATAAAATTCAGTGGTGAATCCATGTGGTCCAGGGGTTTTGTTCTTAGGTTTTTGATTACCTGTTCAATTTCGTTGCTGGTAATTGGTCTGTTCAAATTTTGTTTCTTTCTGGGTCAGCCTTGGAAGGTTGTATTTTTCTAGAAAGTTGTCCATTTCTTCTAGGCTATCCAGTCTGTTAGCATATAATTTTTCATAGTATTCTCTAATAATTCCTTATATTTCTGTGGTGTTCATAGTGATTTTTCCATTTTCATTTCTGATTCTGTTTATGTGTAGACTCTCTTTTTTTCTTGATAAGTCTGGCTAGTGGTTTATCTATTTTGTTTATTTTCTCAAAGAACCAGCTCTTGCTTTCATTAATTCTTTCTATTGTTTTGTTCTCTATTTTATTCATTTCTGCTCTATTCTTTGTTATGTCCCTCCTTCTACTGACTTTCGGCCTCATTTGTTCTTCTTTTTCTAGTTTCGTTAATTGTGAGTTTAGACTGCTTATATGGGATTGTTCTTCTTTCCTGAAGTAGGCCTGTATTGCAATATACTTTCTTCTTAGCACGGCCTTCGCTGTGTCCCACAGATTTTGTGGTGTTGAAGTACTGTTGTCATTTGTCTCCATATATTGCTTGATCTCTGTTTTTATTTGGTCATTGATCCATTGGTTATTTAGGAACATGTTGTGAAGCCTCCATGTGTTTGTGGGATTTTTCATTTTCTTTGTGTTATTTCTAGTTTCATACCTTTGTGGTCTGTGGAACTGGTTGGTACAATTTCAATCTTTTTGAATTTACCGAGGCTCTTTTTGTGGCCTAGTATATGATCTATTCTTGAAAATGTTCTGTGTGCATTTGAGAAGAATGTGTATTCTGCTGCTTTTGGGTGTAGAATTCTGTAGATGTCTATTAGGTCCATCTGTACTATGTGTTGTTCAGTGACTCTGTCTCCTTACTTATTTTCTGTCTGGTTGATCTGTCCTTTGGAGTGAGTGGAGTGTTGAAGTCTCAGAATGAATGAATTGCATTCTACTTCCCCTTTTAATTCTGTTAGTATTTGTTTCCCATATCTAGGTGCTCCTGTGTTGGGTGCATAGGTATTTGTAATGTTTATATCTTCTTGTTGGATTGACCCTTTTATCATTATGTAACGTCCTTCTTTGTCTCTTGTGACTTTCTGTTTTTTAAAGTGTATTTTTTCTGATACAAGTACTGCAACTCCTAATTTTTTCTCCCTATTGATTGCAAGAAATATCTTTTCCCATCCCTTGACTTTTAGACTGTGTATGTCTTTGGGTTTAAAGTGAGTGTCCTGTAGGCAGTATACAGATGGGTCTTGTTTTTTTATCCATTCAGTGACTCTATGTCTTTTGATTGGTGCATTCAGTCCATTTACATTTAGGGTGATTATCAATAGGTATGTACTTATTGCCATTGCAAGCTTTAGATTTGTGGTTACCAAAGGTCAAGGTTAGCTTTCTTTAGATTGTAAGGAAGCTATCTAAGAGTCTAACTTAACTCACTTAATATGCTATTACGAGCACAATCTAAAGGTTCTTTTTTTTTTCTCCTTTTTCTTCCTCCTCCATTCTTTATATATTAGGTATCATATTCTGTACTCTGTTTATCTCTTGATTGACTTTGGGGATAATTTAATTTTGCATTTGCATAGTAATTACCTGTTCTACTTTGTTTACTGTGGTTTTATTACCTCTGATGACAGCTATTAAGCCTTAGGAACACTTCTATAAATAGCATTCCCTCCAAAATACACTGTAGAGATGGTTTGTGGGAAATAAGTTCTCTCAGCTTTTGCTTACCTGGAAATTGTTTAATCCCTTCTTCAAATTTAAATGATAATCTTACCAGATAAAGTATTCTTGGTCTGAGGTCCTTCTGCCTCATTGCATTAAATACATTGTGCCACTCCCTTCTGGCCTGTAAGGTTTCTGTTGAGAAGTCTGACAATAGCCTAATGGGCTTTCCTTTGTATGTGATGTTATTTTTCTCTCTGGCTGCTTTTAATAGTCTGTCCTTATCCTTGATCTTTGCCATTTTAATTACTATGTGTCTTGGTGTTGTCTTCCTTGGGTTCCTTGTGTTGGGAGATCTGTGCATCTCCATGGCCTGAGAGACTATCTCCTTCCCCAGATTGGGGAAGTTTTCAGCAATTACCTCCTCAAAGACACTTTCTATCCCTTTTTTCTCTCTCTTCTTCTTCTGGTACCTCTATAATGCAAATATTGTTCCACCTGGATTGGTCACACAGTTCTCTCAATATTCTTTCATTCTTTGAGATCCTTTTTCTCTCTGTGCCTCAGCTTCTTTGTATTCCTCTTCTCTAGTTTCTATTTCATTTATTGTGTCCTCCACCATATCTAATCTGCTTTTAATACCCTCCATTGTGCTCTTCAATGATTGGATCTCTGACTGGAATTTATTCCTGAGTTCTTGAATATCTTTCTGTACCTACATGAGCATGTTAATGATTTTTATTTTGAACTCCCTTTCAGGAAGATTCATGAGATCGATGTCATTTAAATCTTTCTCAGGAGTCGTATTAATAATTTTACTTTGAACCAAGTTCCTTTGGCGTTTCATATTTGTATATGGTGCCCTCTAGTGCCCAGAAGGTCTTCTCTCTGGAGCTGCTCAGCCCCTGAAGCAACGTCGGGGTTCGCAGGGGAGTGGTATTGGTGCTTAGGGGGAGGAAAGAGCTGTTTCCTGCTTACCAGCTGCTATGCCTGTCTCCACTACCTGAACCAGCTGGCTGAGCACACAATTATAAGCCTCTATGGTTTGCGTTTGCAGTTGTTGTAGACAGGTCTTCCCTCTGGCTGGCCTAACACCAGGGTAGGGTTTGCCGGTTTGCAATCCAGGTGGGGCTGGCCAGGAGAAAGGCGCAGTGGGCTGCATATCACAGAGGGGGACCTTTCACCTCTCATGCCACTGTCTTTAATCCTCTCTCAATTACTTTGTACCCACAAGTGCTTTCTTAATTTCCTTTGCTTATTGTTCATTACCAGCATACAGAAACATATCTTTGCATGCTGATTTTGTATTTTGCCTATCTGATGAATTCATTTATTAGCTCTAACAGTTTTTTTGTAGAATCTTTAAGTTTTCTATATATGTCATCTGCAGACAGACAGTTTTACTTCTTTCTTTCCAATGTGGATGGCTTTTGTTTCTTTTTCTTCCTTCATTGTTCTGGCTAGGACTTTACAGTATTATGATGAAAAGAAGTGGTATAAGTGGGCATCCATGCTTTGTCCCCTGATTCTGGGGTAAAACCTCAGCCTATTGACTATAATGTTAGCTCTGAGTTTGTTATATATGGGCTTTATCATGTTAATCTACAGAGGATTTTTAACCTTGCTATAATTCTCCTAACAAGAACAAGAAAGAACTGTGGAAGCTGGAAATAGTATCTTTAGTTAAGGGTTACCAGTATTATAAAGGAGGGTTATTCAAAGTCCTGAAGTGACAATGAGGGTCCAGAATGCATTAGTATCTTGCACAACGTCTGGTGACAATGCATGCCCATGCTTTACATGATACTAAGCAGATGCAAAAGAAATCACAGAATATATAGACATGTACATATCCCCTTCTGTCTTGGTTAGTTTGGCCTGCCATTATAAAGTGCCACAGACTTTGTGGCTGAAACAAGAAAAACTATTTTCTCAGTTTTGGAGGCTAGAAATCTGAGATCAGGATCAGGTTCTGGTGAGAACTCTCTTGCTGGCTGGCAGATGGCTACTTTCTTGCTGTGTCCTCACACAGTGGAGAAAGCACGTCTAATCTCTCTCTTCCTCTTCTTATAAAGCCACTAATCCCATCATGGGGGTGCTACCCTCATGACCCAATCTAACCCTAATTACTTCCCAAAGGCCTATCTCCAAATACGAATACACAGAGGGGTAGGGCTTCAACATATGGATTGGGTAAAATATAAACATTTAGTCTGTTAATACCTCCTTTCAAGAAAACAGTGATGAAACTAACAATGTAGGCACATAGTAAACAGTTTAGTTTTTTATCAGAGTGCTTGAAATAATTCAAACCTTGCATATACTTACAAAATTTGGAGACAAGTTATGTTTATAAAGCTGAAGAGTAGAATGAAGCAGGTTAGAAACAAGACTGGAAACAAGTACTTCCTTTCCCAACTTATTATCTGTTACTCGTCTCTGGCTACTGGCCACTTGAACAGTCCATTTATCCATATCTGCTATAATACAGACAGCTTCTGCTATGGGTTCATCCAACACTGGATGCTGGAAAGAAAAGAAGAATTTATCTTATGATAAGGAAATGAAGTTTTGAAAGATAATGTTAATGGAATGAGGCAATGAAGAGATACTAAAATAAAAGACCAATAAAAGAATATTAAATTCTGCCAGCTACTGCCAAAGAATCCCTGACAATGGAGAATGGAAGAGTTCATTAATTCAATAAACAAACACTCCGAAGTATCTTACAGAACTCATCACAGGTAGAGACTCATTATCAGAATTTTGTATTCTTTAACCCAGAACTTAACTTTCACCAGTCTTTTGATCTTTCATTCATTCAAGGAATTTACTGAGTGCCAACTATGTGCCACAACTGAAGGAAGTGTTTTTTTTCCTTCAAAGAGCTAAACATTTTAAAAATAGAACAGAATTCACATGAACAAGTTGTAAAGTTCTGTGCTAGCTATGCTAACCCATCAGGCAGTAATTTGCTTGAGCACCTCAGGCACAATCCCTTTATCACATGAAGAACCTTGCTGCCTATGTACACTAGGATTTTCTATTTTACCAAGATGTATATATCCACAGTGTAGATACAGTGGTTAAAAAGTAGACAAATCAACAGGTACTAACATGGCTATCCAAGATACATGGTTTAAAGCCAAAAAAAAAAAAAGTCACTACATAGACACACACATTACATCCCAGTTATATTTTTGAAAAGTTAGATCTTTACCTAAATGAAAATGTATAGAAAAAATAATGAAAATACTCAAACCCAACTCTATCATATGAATAACTATGGAATACTAGAGTTTAAAGAAGGATTTCTACTTTTTGTTTTGCTATCTTTATACTGTTTGAATTTCTATAACAAACACTTCTATAGTGAGAAAATTTAAAGCATAGTGAAAAGTATTTTTAACTCACATATACTGATAAAAGGACTTCCCATGCTTTACACACAAAGGCCAAATGCAACAATTACATACAGAGTACCACCAGCAGAAAGAGCTGACGTCCCTATAATGTTCTACACTTCAGCATCATTTTCTTTGGAAGAGTAAGTAAGGCTTTATCACTAGCCATAAGAAACAGTAGCAATCAGACTGAGATAAAAACTACAATTTGAAATACTTGAACCCAGTGGTCTTTTTCCTTTCAAACTTTTGCTGTTACCACAATTTCACAGCTAAGAATGTAAGTTTACTCCTTGATAGACCCAGGTTTGGCAGCCTCAAAGGATATCCCCTTACCAGTCAATAAGCAATCACTTTGAATAAAGCTTTTTGCTGGATGCTAAGGAAACAAAAGACAACAGAGCTCAGTCGTCAGACAGAAAACTAAATACACCCTGGCTATAAAAAACACACGTGCAACAAAATAGGAACCAAGTGCTGGGGTAGCAGAGGAGGGCAATAGCGGGTTCTGCATGACTGGGTTTCACAGTGGAAGGGGCATATGGATATGACACTTAAGTATGGATAGGACTGTTGGTGAAAAGGGGGAGAGGAATATGGATAATTCTGTAAGAGAGAGTATCATGAGAAGACACACAGAAGAAGTAGATGTACATGACTAAATTTGTGAAAAATAATATTGAGAAGTGGAAAAGAGAGTGGTAAAGAAAAAGCATGGAAAGATACAATGTGAAGACTTTCCATGGGACTCTAAATGTTTTATTTGTTTTTATACAATGGTACTCAAATATTTCTTATTCAACTCCACCAAGTATGTAACATTTTTCTATTCATCGACTTAATTACTGAAATACAATTTTATAAATGGTATACACATCTAAAGATACAAAGTACATCTTATATTTAAAAAAACAAGATAATAGTGAACATTTATTTTAATGTAAGTATGTCTATGGTTATAAAAGAAAAATAAGTATGATCAAATAACCAAAGCAGAGTAACAAACAGGAAATGGCAGATACTACTTTCATTAACAATGGACGTCTTCTGGAGGTAAGATTTATGAAGGGGGTCCATAAACAGATAGTAAGGAAACTTCTGTGAAAGATACCTTGTTTCGGGGGTTACAAACTCCTTCAGAAATAAACTTCATAGTTCCTCAATCAAAAGGCACGTGGTTAAGATTTTTAAAAGTTTATCAAATGAAACCTTATGAAAGATATTTTTTGGTAAGAAAAATGAAAATGGTCCTAAGTCAGCAGCCTCCCAAGAGAGAAAGGTCTAAATGCCAAGTATGAGATCAGAAATAATTAAAATCAAACTATGTAAGTTAAAAAACAAGGTGAGAGTAGGAAGGGGGGGGCAAAGTGCCAGTCATTCATTCTGAAATTATATGTTTCCATTCAATGAATTGTCACATGCAATGTCCTAACCTTATAAAATTTCAATTTAAAATCTCAGTCCTTCCCTTCATTATCAACTTCTGGAAAAGAGCCTGCACCCAATCGCAGCCTATTCTCAACCAAGCCTTTGTAGTGGCTTCATCCACAATCTTTACTAAGTTTGTATCTGGCTTCCGATACTTCCAAGTCACAAAATGGGAAGTATATTTATGTGTAAGAAAAGCAGTGAATCTAAAGCTTTATTTTTTTTAAACCTTCTTCTCTGAATTCATGACTTTTAAACACAAATTCATCTACAATCTTAGCAGACTTTTTTCTCTCCCAGGCATTTCTAGAATCTTAATATATAAACTCCCAAACCTTCAAATATCTTCTACTATAGCATATAATTCTGTATCTCCATCCTGTTACAAAACCTAAATTTTCAGTAGCTGCACTTTTAAACTCAAGGTGTACCAAATCATCTTCAGTGTATTTTCCTCAAAACTAGACAGTTTCCTTCAATTATCTTTAAAGACAAAAATGAGAACCCAAATGTTATGGGGGGAATAGTCTTACAACACTGTAAAATTGCTCTTCAAACTGCACTGCCTTTTGGAGAAGAAACTAACCAACATGTATCAAGAACTTGAAAATAGTCCTAGCCTTAAAAAGAAGCCAATAACTTCATTTCTGGGAATCTAGCCTAAAGACATAATCTTAGATTCATAAAACACAGGAATAATACCAATGTTATTTATAACAGTAAAAGGAAAATCTTCTTTTGAAAATTGACTATTGGAGAATAAAGAACACAGAAATAAAACCAAGAATATGTGCTCAATTAATCTATGACAAAGGAGCCAAGAATATATACCCTGGAGAAAGGTAGTCTCTTCCACAGATGGTGTTGCGAAAACTGTGGACAGCTCTATACCCAAGAATGAAACAGGACTCCTATCTTACACTAGACAAAAGAATCAACTCAAACTGGATTAAAGGCTTGATTGTAAGACCTGATACCATAAAATTCCTAGAAGAAAACACAGGAGTAGCTCCTTGGCATAAATTTGGCTTTTTATTGCCAAAATCAAAGGCAATAAAAGCAGACTAAACTACAAGGCTTTTGTTGAAACCATCAACAAAATGAAAAGGCAGCCTACGGAATGAGAGAAAATATTTGCAAACCACATACATAATAAGGAGTTAATATCCAAATATGTAAGTAACTCTTAAAACTCAAAAGAAAAAAAATCCCAACCAGATTAAAAAATAGGCAGAGGAACTAACTGAACAGACATCTTTCCAAAGAAGACATACAAATGGCCAAGAAGTACATGAAAAGGTGTTCAGTATCACTCACCATTAGAGAGATGCAACTCAAAACCACATGAATTATCATCTCACACCTGTCAGAATGGCGATAATCAAAAACACAAGAGGCAACAAATAAGTGTTGGCAAGGGTGCAGAGAGAAGAACCCTGGTGCACTGCTGGTGGAAATGTAAATTAGTGCAGCCATTTATGGAAGACAGTAGGAAGGTTCCTCAGAAAATAAAAAACAGAACCACTGTATGATCCAGCAATTCCCCTTCTTGGTATATATCCAAAGGAAATGAAGACAGGATATCAAAGAAATAGTTGTATTCCCAAATTCACTGAAGCATTATTCACAATAGTCAAGATATAGAAACAACCTAAGTGAATGAGTGGATAAAAAAATATATATATATATATATGATGTATATAATACACACACACACACTGGAATATTATTCAGTCATGAGAAAGAAGGAAATCCTTTCATGTGTAACAATATAGATGGGCCTGGAAGGCATCATGCTAAGTGAAGTAAGAGAGAGACAAATACTGTATTAGATATAGAAACAACCTAAGTGAATGAGTGGATAAAAAAATATATATATATATATATGATGTATATAATACACACACACACACTGGAATATTATTCAGTCATGAGAAAGAAGGAAATCCTTTCATGTGTAACAATATAGATGGGCCTGGAAGGCATCATGCTAAGTGAAGTAAGAGAGAGACAAATACTGTATGTTCTCACTTATAGAGGGATAAAAAAAATTCATAAAAACTGAGAACATACTGGGAGTAGACAGAGGTAGGGAATGAGGGAAATGGATGAAGGGGGTCAAAAGGTACAAACTTTTAAGATAAGTAAGTTCTGGAGATGTACAGCATAAAGACTACACTTACCAATACTATATTGTATATTTGAAAACTGCTAAAAAAGTAGATCTTAAAAAATTCTTACCATAGGGAAAAAATCTGGAACTATGTCAGGTGATGGATGTTAACTAAATTTACCATGGTAATCATTTTGTGATACATACATATATCAACTCATTAAATTGTACACCTTAAATAAACTGCTGTATGTGAATTACATATCTTTAAAACTGGAAAAATAAGCAAGAGTCAAGCAATAACAGAATGTTGAGGAAAACTAACCATATGACAAAACCATGGAATAACCAATAAACTAAAGTGTTCACAAAATATATTCATAAAATGGGGAAATTCTCTTATATCAGCTGTTAAGTGATAAAAGCAGGATTCAAAACAAAAAATACAATACCATATATGTATGTGTGTATATGTATTATATAGCATATATACACTATATATGTGCATATACATGTGTATATATACACAAACACAAGTACATTATATGTGTACAGTATATATAAAAATATTATGTGTGTGTATATGTATAAATGTAAATTTTAGTGTTTTACAGTAGGGAAATTATAGCAAACCAGATAAAAACAAAGTTTGTGAAGAAAACAAAATTGTTTGTATGTTTATATGTAAAAATGTATATTTATTAAAAATACATGTGTGTATATACACACACACATACATATATACACACAGAATACTAATGAAAAGAAAATACAAGGCACAGAGGGCCTAATGTTTACATAATGCCACACTCTGGTATATATAATCATTAGTATCACTTTCATGATAGCCAAGGAAACTGACTCTCTATTAAACCAAATGTCTTAGATACTCAGGTATTAAGTGGCTGGGTCTGGGCTTTATCAAGTGACACACAGTGTATAAAGACTGGAAGAAGTTTTTTATATTATGAATGGCTGCCACTGTCTTTGAGTTTCTACATATTTCAACATTTTATATAGCAAGTATATATTGATTTGGTAGCAAGAAAAATGCCCTTTCTTGGAAACTGGGAAGAAAAAGAAAAGACACTCCATTAATAGAGTTAGGAATAACATTATCTTTTTTAAAGTACTAACATCATTATTTCTGAATTAAAAAGTTCCTATGTTTTTTTTCAGGTAGGCACATAAAAAATATAATGGTGATTAATTATAATTATGCAGTAACTAAAACAATTAAAAATAAACCTTATAAGTTAATAGGGAAAAATGAGTGATGAAAAATTCAATAACATGTTAGTGCTGAGATTAAGGTTGATAATTTACTTTTCATTTTTTCAAAATTTTCTGTAATACTCCTTTAATAATAACAAATACTTACTGAACACAAAGTCAGGCACAGGACAACAGAATTTAAAAAATAGAAATAGTTCCTTCACCCTGAGGGACAACCACCAACAACTAATATTAACTTTCCTCTGAAGCATTAAATTACTTATTAGTATCTTCCTCTGGCATTTTGTGTGTGTGTGTGTGTGTGTGTGTGTGTTGTACTACACTTATTCATATACTTGCCTTATTTTCTTCATTGCTAAGTAAATAACTTGAGGTCAGAAACTATTTCTTTTTCATCTATATATCCTTTGGAGTATTAGTACTATGTTCAGAACTAATTAGTACTATGTTCAGTACGTCAGTAAATATTTATCTGATTGGTATTAACAGGTTGAGCAAAAACAGCTTTTAAGTATAAACAACATGAGTTTTGGTAAGTTTTCTTCACAAATTTTGCCTGTCAAAATTTGCCATAATTTCCCTACTGTATTATAAAATATCAAAATTTCCAACTTTAGTTATCTTCTACGGTCACAGAAGGCCTAAGCCTTTCTAGCTAATAATTAAGTGAATGCTTGCTCGCTGAGCCATATATTCTCACCTATGATTTCCCAGTTGGCCTTTTCCATTTCCTTTTTAATGTATTTCCTGGGGAGAGGGGAAGGTTTAATTGTCAAAAAAAAAAAAAAAGGATAATTACATCATCAAATAGATTAGGGTCAGGTGAGGGTCCTGGCCATAGGCACTCCCATTTTCCCTACATTGACATATGGAACGGAAGACAGAAAGAGAAAGTCCAACAACAGCTGCAGACTTTAATACTTCACTTTCAGTAACTGATGGAACTAGACAGAAAATCAGCAAGGACATGGAAAACTTGAGTAAGGCTCTCAACCAACTCTACTTGATGTCTATCAAACACTCCATCCAACAACAGCTGACTGTTCTTTTCAAGTCCACATAGATCATTTTCCAGGATTGGACCATACAAGTCTGAATAAATTTAAAAGGACTGAAATCACACAAAGTATGTTGTCTGACCACTGTGGAACTAATTTAGAAGTTCACAATAAGAGGAAATTTAAGAATTCCAAACATATTTGGAAATTAAACAATATAATCTAACAATCATCTAATAACAACCTAATAATAATCTAAAAAATCTATGAGTCAAAGAAATGGCAAGGGAAATTAGAAAGTATTTTCAAGTGAATGAAATGCATGTTTTAAAGGTGGGAGTGGGAACCAAAAATCCTCAAAAAACTAAGAACAGAGGGGAACATTCTCCACCTGATAAAAGGCATCTATAAGAATCCTATAGTTAACATCACATTTAATAATGAAAGATTCAATGTTTTTGATGTTTTCCTTCTAAGATCAGGAACAACACAAGGATGTCCACAATCAGCACTTCTATGCAACACTGGACTGAAGGTTATAGCCTGTAGAATCAGACAAGAAAGAAACAGAAGGCATCTAGACTGCACAGAAGATGTAAAACTATCTGTTCATCGATGACATCAGCCTGTATGTTGAAAATCCTACACAAAAAACTGTGAGTGTAGTAAGGTGGCAGAATCAGTAAACAAAGCACAAACATCACCGTACTACCAATGAACAATTTGAGAATAAAATTAGGAAATTATACCATCATGTTTAAGCATTTGCATTTCATTTTGATATTAGAATGATAATCTAGTGATGAATACCTATGAATATATACAGTACTTCTGTATTTCAGATTTTCCTTTAGACAGATTCCTGAAACTCTACTTGCTTTTATGGTGACAGGTAAAAGCATGTAGATATTTTATACATAAAGTGATGGGCTCAGAGAACAATGACTGAGTTACACACGCAAGTATAACCAAAAATATATGGCACTTCTGGGTTCTATTGGTTAACAGGGTTCTTTCTAGATAAATTCAAGAGCAGTAAAGATAACTCACCTGCACAGCATGAGACAAGTCTGATACCAGACACTGACGGAGCCTCTCATCACTCCCAATTCCTTGAAGAACAAAGTCAGGCACATAAGACGAGCAGTAGCCACCCAACAAGGACCTACCAAAGTTGGCAATATTGGGCTGAACAGCACTCACTTCGATTAACTTTGACCTGGAAGAAAGGTCAAAAGAATGCACACCTAATTAGTAATCAACATATTTTACAAATAAAAAATCTTGGACTCTACTAGTCCATATTTCCAGTACCATCATTTTCCACAAAACACACTCAGGGTAAAATCATCTTTAGGTAAAAACTGGCTTAAGTGCTCAATCAGACCAAAACAATTCCTTCCTATCAAGAAAACAGGGTCTGATGAACAACTTCAGAATGAGGTGAGCATGTTCATAAAAGAGAATGCTGTCCCTAGCGTATGTAACATATTCTTAATCTAATACAATCAGACTATGGAAACCATCATCCAAAATAAAGTAGTTAAATACCTCAGAAATCCAAAGATTGGTATGTAACATTTCTCAGGTATGAAATCTTCTCCTTGCATACTTGACCCAGAGTATACATTCCCTGGTTTCCTCTTTGTCTTGGTCAATTTATTTCTAACAGCCATTTCCCACCTTCTCCGTGATTACCTCTCTTTAGTTGTCAGGCTCAGCATTGGTCCTTTCAGGGAGCATAATTCACTCCTAAATGGCTTGAAAACTCCTAAGCAGTAAGGAATCTCCTACATACTAACATAAATTTTCTCTAATGCCTTCACAAAGCCTTTCTGGGGTGCCTCCAGGACTTAGCTTTAATCTTTCGTATAAGTAAGAGCACATGATAATAAAGAAGAATTGTCGAGGTCAGTGATCTCTTCTTTTACATTAGCTACTACCAACCTTCAGACACCACCTAGACAAAAGAATGGTACAAAATGGCTACTTACCCAGGAAATGGTATCTCATCCTCTTCTGCCCAATCTTCTTGCTCTCCTCCATAGTAACCACTTACTTGTCGAGTCATATCATGACCTGTGTCTTCACTTTCACTATCCCCAAGGGCACTATCTGAACTTTCATTTCTTGGAATGTCCCATTCAATTCCTACAGCAATTTTTTTTTCTGGACTCTCTTTATCCCCATGGGGGACAAGAACTGAGAGTGTATCTCTTTGGTCCTGCTGAGAAAAGCAGGTGTTAGATGAATCTTGGTGAACTCTTTCTACACATTTACAAGATTTATTATTCTGTTTACTGTTTTTTATACACAGTCTTTTTGAAAACTCTAACATACAGCAGTGTTCTTTACTGTCTGTACTTGTTTTAACTGTAATATCGTCAATAGTCCTGGTTTCAATTGAATCATCATTAAAATATTCATCAAATAAGCTCATGTTCTCTGAGTCTGAATGATTCCAACAGGAAAGTTCACAGGGCTCTCCAGAAACCAAGTGTGGTATAGTAGACTCTCCAGATTGGTCCTTAGGTGGTTGTTTAGTTTCTTGATGTTGATCAATAGCCCCTCTTTCTTCCTTCAATGGTTTGGTGTGATACCTGGTAATCTGATCCACCACTGCCTGACTCCGGAGTTCAGTATCTGAGTCAGGTGACATAGAATCCCCAATCAAGAAAGTAACCTTTGTCTGGGTTGCCTCACAAGAAAATGTAGCAGATACAAGCTTATCTGGAGGTTTTTTCTCCACAACCATTCCTGTGGATCTCAACACTTTGCCTGAGTGATTACCTAAATCCAGTAATTCCTCACTCTGCCATGTTTCCTCTGCTGGCCCTAAGCCTGACTTTGACAAAGCACGTTTGTCCACTGGAGCAGATCCTGTACAAACAACTGTCTGTAACTTGGTGTCAAGGCAAGTTCTTAATTTATCTCTGTACTGTTTAACATCAACAGCATTTTCTTCTTGGCAGTCAGAAGGAGAAATCATTCGGCACTCATCTGAACCTCCTAGCAGCTCCTTAGAGCTGTTTGGAATATCTTCTCTATCTTGTTGTAAAACATTGTCTGTATTTTGCCCAAGGAGTGGACGACTACAGTATTTACAGTTGCAATTAGGGGTTCTTGTTTCTTCTGACTCTTTAAAGAGCAAACTGCTTTTGTTTCTATGCATTGTGATGAGCACATACTCGGACTCTTCTACTTCACCTTTCTCTAAAGTGGTAGTAATAACTGTGCCTGGCATAACAATGGCTTCATCTTCCCCATTTTCTAAAAGATGGGTTTCTTGAAGTTCAGAGCATCTAATGAAATAAGTAAGAAAATAAAGCAGTCTCTGCACCATGTCTTGTCGTTTGCCAACCACCACAGTCCTCGCTAACCGTACAGGAGAGCCGATAGCGCCATACAGGTCCCCTGCAATGGAGAAATCAGTTAATGGACACATTCCCTACTCATGCAGCTAAGCAGACTACTTTCAATGATCAGAAACCTACTCTCACTGAGTAGTTCGCATTTTACCCTTTGTTCTTTAACAGGTGAGTGACTATTCAGTAAAGTAGAATGAGATGAATGGTCCTAACCAAAGGGCAAGATGAATGTTACGGTTTTCTAGCTGCCTCCTTAAGCAGCTACTGTGGTTCTGAAACCTCAAGCAATGAGTCAGTTGTGAAAGTCCTATTTGCCACTAATATTCTTTGTGCTGGCCCCACACAGAGCACTTCATCTGGATGGAGAAGTACTGCCTGAAGTATTATGTGCAAAAGAACTCTGCAGCTGCCTCTAGTACAGAGAAGAGAAGGCACAACATCTGCTGGGGGCACGGAGAGAAAGGGAGTAGTGGTAGACGGTCGGAGCTGCAGCAGTCATGTCATGTACTTAACCTTCCTTGATTGAAACCTTAGCTGTTGCTGTGCTGTCCTATCCAGGACCCAACACTAGTTCCCATGTTTTTAATAAAAGCTCATTTCCTCTTCCATTCCCTAGAGGTTGGGTACCAGAAAGGGCAGGAAAAGTGAGACCTATCCTAACAAAAAAAAGGGCAACACATTTAGCCATGTGGTTCACTTTCACTTTTGTATCCATACTAGACATAACAGTCATTACATTTAAAAAGGGGAGGGAGACCTCGGAGTCACCAATGTCATGCTATAAGTCAAATGAGACCAAAAAGAAAGAAGCATCAAAACACACTTAAAAATGGAGAACAGAGAGGGCGAGGCCAGGATGGCGGTGTGAGTAGAGGAGTGGAAATCTCCTCCCAAAAACACATAGATCTATGAAAATATAAAAAAGAAAACTCTTCCTAAAATAGAGACCAGAAGACACAGGACAACATCCACACCACATCCACACCTGCAAGAACCCAGCGCCTTGTGAAGGGGGAGAGGAAGGCCACAAAACAACAAGAAGGGAAGCTCTTCCAGCGGTCACTCGGACCAGCTCTGCAAACTATCTCTATCACCATGAAAAGGCAAAACTACAGGCAGACAAAGATCACAGAGACAACACCTGAGAAGGAGACAGAACTAACCAGTCCTCCTGAAAAAGAATTCAAAACAAAAATCATGAACATGCTGACAGAGATGCAGAGAAAAATGCAAGAGCAATGGGATGAAGTCCGAAGGGAGATCACAGATGTCAGGAAGGAGATCA